GGCCGCCTCATACGTCTGGATCTTCTTCTTTGTAATATCCGTTCTTCTGTTAGACCTCTTCTTTGTCGTCATCATCAGTCTTCATCCTCTCCTGGACTTCTGACTCTCACCGAGATGTCCTTGGTTTTCTCTTCTTCACTCTCTGATGTCTGGTTCTCTGGTGATTCCACCGCTCTGTGGTCGGACAAAACAGCTGTTTTCTCAGCAGGACCTTCAGTTGCAGGCTCCGCATCGTCTGCATACAGCTCTGCATCATCCTCATCGCTTTCCTTCTTGGTAATTCTGCCTTATGGATCTTCGTAAATCTTGTAGATGGAGCTGGAGCTTCTTCAACCTCCTTTTCTGATTCATCTTCAACGAGGGCCTCTTCTGGAGCGGCGCTGTGTCAGAATCCACTTCTGTAGATTTCTCTACGACTGTGCTCTCCTCATCTACTTCAGCTGCTGAAGTCTCGATCGTCGGTGCCGGTCTCGTCCACAGCTGCCACGCTTTCCTCCTCATTTTCAGGCAACTCTTCTTCACCTTCACCTTCTTCAACTGATTCTCCTCCTCCTCCTGCTGCACTCTCAACCTCCTCCTCTTCCACATCTTTCTTCTCAGGATCCTCTCCTGTCGTCTCCACTTTCTCCTCAGGTGAGTCCCGCTCTGACTCTTCTTCCTCTTCTTCTTTTTCATCGTCTCCCTCTTCCTCAGGCTGAACATCTGTGCGGGCTCTCTTGGCTTTCCGTCTCGGTGGGGCAGGAGCAGACTTCCGTCCCTTCCTCAAAACCCTTATTTGAACTGCAGGTTCATCTGTATCAGCGTCTTTTTCTACCACTGTCCCCTCCTCTTCTTGGTCTTCCGTCTGTTGTTTCTCTGTGGTTTTGCTCCTTGGTGACGCTCTCACTGACTTTCCACCGCTCCTCAGGACTTTTGATTCAACAACCGGCGCCTCTTCCTCATCAGGAACTTGTCCATCTTCTATTCCAGGTGTCTCCACCTGTCCTTCTGAATCAGCTGGCTGTTCCTCCTCCAGGGTCTCTTGCTCTTTGGGGGATTCGTCTGCTTCAGCGACAACTTTTTCCAAGTCCTCTTCTGGTTCTGTCGTTTCTTTTTCCTGAGTTGCAGCCTCCTCTTGAGTTTCTTCTTCGATCTTTTCATCTTTGCTTTCCTCGGTTTCTACAGCCTCTCCCAGCTCTGCTTTGGCATCCTCTGATTCAGCTGGGGTAGTTTGATCTTCCTCTTCCTCCGTTTCAAGCTGTGTTCTTGCTCTTTTGGATTTACCTCTGAGCGAGGAAGGAGCTAACCTTCTTCCCTTCTTTTCACCACTTCTCAGAACTCTTGTTTCAATAACCGGTATGTCCTCCTCCTGATCTGCCTGGTCTTCAGTTCCAGTTAGCTGTGTCTCTTTTGCCAATTCCCCAGTTTCAGCTTCTGCACCTTCACCGGTGGAGACTGACTGTTCCTCCTTGACAGTATCTTGTTCTGTGACAGCTTCTTTAGCAACATCATCTGAGGCTTCAGTAGCTTGTCCCTCTGTCTCACTACTGTCAGCCTGTCCTTCCTCTGGAGCATCCTCAGCTTTCTCTTCACTTATTTCTGGTTCTGCTTGTTGATTTTCATCCTTATCCTCAAGTTTCTCCTCTTCAGCTTGTACGTCTTCCTCTTCTGCCTTGTTCCCCTCGTCTGCTGTAGATTCCTTTCCCTCCTCCTCCTCTTCTTCCTGAAGTTGCTTACGGGTTCTTTTTCTGGAACTTCTTGGAGCGACTGTGATAGACTTCCTCCCTCGCCTGAGAACTCGGACTTGAACTCCTGGTTCCTCATAAACAATATCTGAAGCCACCTCCTCTTCTTCCTCATCCTTTTTCTGTGTTCTTCTTGTTGATTTGCATATCGGTGTGGCTTTGACAGCTGGCTTTCTACCTCTCCGTGTTCTTGTTTCAATGATTTTAACCTCCTCCTCCTCTTCATCAACACTTTTGGCCTCATCTTCTTTAGCCGTCTCCTCGGCCTTCCCCTTGCCAGTTTCTTGTGTTGTGACTACATCCTCTGCTTTCTCCTCCTCCTGCTCAGTTTGTTCTGCTTCAACAGGAACATCTTCTGCTTGTCCTGCTTCTTCTTCTTTAGTTTCTTCCTTCTGCTCCTCTTCTCCTTCAATAGAAGTTTCTCCCAGGGGAGCCTTCTCCCCCACAGCTGCTGTCTCTTTGAGGACCTCAAGATGTGTTTTTTTCAGATCCACTAAAACCACGCTGACTCTTTGGAGCTCGGGAAGCTGTTGTACCACTACATTGCTCTGTTGCTCTTCTTCTGCGGGTGTTGCCTCCTCTTCAGCAGGTGTACGTGAAGCTGAGTCAGTGGCTGGTTCAGGTTTTATGTTTCTGTTTCTCCTTCTTCGACTAAATCATCTGAGGCGTCTGTCACTCCAGTCGGTCTCCTCCTCTTCAGTTTGTGTCATTTGTCCTTCTTCTGACTCTTCTTCTACATGTATTGACTTCTCCTCCTCCACTGAATCCTGTGTGACAGCTTCCTGGACAACATCATCTGAGGTCTTTTCATCATCAGCGCTTGTACGTCTCTCTCAGATTTGTCGGCCTGTTCCTCCTCTGGAGCATCTTGTTGGATGACTGATTCCTCTGAAACCAAAACCTCTTTCTCTGTGATTTCTGGCTCTGCTTTTGGGTTGCTTCCTCCTCAACTTGTTCCTTTCTTCCTCTGCCTCTTCTCCTCATCCATGGGAGATTCCTCTTCTTCTTTCTTCTCTTCTTCTTGGAGTTGTTTGCGTGTCTTTTTTGGTGTTTTTCTTTGCACAGGGGTAGACTTTCTTCCCCCCTGAGAACTTTGACTTCAACTGTTGGCTCCTCTTCTAAAATCTCAGAAGCCTCCTCTTCCTTGACCTTATTCTGTCGTTCTTGCAGATTTGCGTCTCGTGTGGCTTTGACTGCTAGCTTTTACCTCTCCGTGTTCTGGTTTCCATGACTGTAACTCCTCCTCCTCCCCCTCCTTTTCCTCTTCATCTTCTTTTGCTGTCTCCTCAGCTTTCTCCTCCACTGTTTCAGGTGTTGTGGCTGCATCCTCTGCTTTCTCCTCCACTGTTTCAGGTGTTGTGGCTGCATCCTCTGCTTTCTCCTCCACTGTTTCAGGTGTTGTGGCTGCATCCTCTGCTTTCTCCTCCACTGTTTCAGGTGTTGTGGCTGCATCCTCTGCTTTCTCCTCCACTGATTCAGGTGTTGTGGCTGCATCCTCTGCTTTCTCCTCCACTGATTCACGTGTTGTGACTGCATCCTCAGCTTTCTCCTCCACTGATTCAGGTGTTGTGACTGCATCCTCAGCTTTCTCCTCACTGTTTCACGTGTTGTGACTGCATCCTCAGCTTTCTCCTCACTGATTCAGGTGTTGTGGCTGCATCCTCAGCTTCTCCTCCACTGATTCGGTGTTGTGGCTGCATCCTCAGCTTTCTCCTCCAGCCCTTCAGGTTCCTTTACAACCCCTCCTGCTCAGTTTGTTCTGCTTCAATAGGCTATCAGAAACATTCTCCTCTTCCATTGCTTCTTCCCTCTGCTCCTCCTCAGCCTCAGCAGCAGTTTTTTCTTCAGGAGCATCCACAGCTGCTGATTCTTCTTGTCTTTTTCCCCTTTCTCAGCTTTTTGCAGATGTTCGATATTACTTTAGTTTTCTCTTCCACTACACGTTGTCCTTCCTCTGGCTCCACCTCTCCTTCTGGCTGTACATGTTCCTCCTTCTCAGAAGCAACTGCTCTTCAACCTTTTGACTCTCTCTTCTTCACCAGTTTTAACTACAACTGGTTCATCAGCTGCCTCCTCTTCCTCTGATGTCTGAGAAATCTCTTCTTTTTTCTTCTGGATTGTTTTTTTGGGTTTTTCTCGGTCGGCCCCTACCCCTTCCAGAGCAGAGATCCCTTCCTGTCTTGGAGAGCCAGAAATATTCTCCTCTTCAGCTTCAGCAGCAATGTTTTCTACAACTGGTTCCTCATCTGCCTCCTCTTCCTCTGATGTCTGAGATACCTCCTCTCTTTTTTTCTTCTGGATTGGTTTTTGGGGGTTTTCTCGGTCGGCCCTTCCCCTTCCAGAGGTAGCGATACCTTCCTGTCTTGGAGAGCCAGAAATATTCTCCTCTTCAGCCTCAGCAGCAGTTTTTTCTACACTGTTTCCTCATCTGCCTCCTCTTCCTCTGATGTCTGAGATACCTCCTCTTCTTTTTTCTTCTGGATTGGTTTTTGGGGGTTTTTCTCGGTCGGCCCCTTCCCCTTCCAGAGGTAGCGATACCTTCCTGTCTTGGAGAGCCAGAATATTCTCCTCTTCAGCCCAGCAGCAGTTTTTCTACACTGTTTCCTCATCTGCCTCCTCTTCCTCTGATTCTGAGATACCTCCTCTTCTTTTTCTTCTGGATTGGTTTTTGGGGTTTTTCTCGGTCGGCCCCTTCCCCTTCCAGAGTAGGATACCTTCCTGTCTTGGAGAGCCAGAAATATTCTCCTCTTCAGCCTCAGCAGCAGTTTTTTCTACAACTTATTTCCTCAGCTGCCTCCTCTTCCTCTGATGTCTGAGATACCTCCTCTTCTTTTTTCTTCTGGATTGGTTTTTGGGGTTTTTCTCGGTCGGCCCCTTCCCCTTCCAGAGTAGCGATACCTTCCTGTCTTGGACAGCCAGAAATATTCTCCTCTTCAGCCTCAGCAGCAGTTTTCTACACTTGTTTCCTCATCTGCCTCCTCTTCCTCTGATGTCTGAGATACCTCTCTTCTTTTTTCTTCTGGATTGGTTTTTGGGGGGTTTTTCTCGTCGGCCCCTTCCCCTTCCAGAGGTAGCGATACCTTCCTGTCTTGGGACAGCCAGAAATATTCTCCTCTTCAGCCTCAGCAGCAGTTTTTTCTACACTTGTTTCCTCATCTGCCTCCTCTTCCTCTGATGTCTGAGATACCTCCTCTTCTTTTTCTTCTGGATGGTTTTTGGGGGTTTTTCTCGGTCGGCCCCTTCCCCTTCCAGAGTAGCATCCCTTCCTGTCCTTGGAGAGCCAGAAATATTCTCCTCTTCAGCCTCAGCAGCAGTTTTTCTACACTTGTTTCCTCAACTGCCTTCCTCTTCCTCGATGTCTGAGATACCTCCTCTTCTTTTTTCTTCTGGATTGGTTTTTGGGGTTTTTTTCTCGGTCGGCCCCTTCCCCTTCCAGAGTAGAGATACCTTCCTGTCTTGGAGCAAGAAATATTCTCCTCTTCATTGTTCAGCACGCGTCTTCTCCTACACACTGTTCCTCTACTCCGAAGTCTTGAGATACCTCCTCTCTTTTTTCTCTCTGATTTTCGGGTTTTTTTCTCGGTCGGCCCCTCCCCTTCCAGAGTCGAGATACCTTCCTGTCTTAGAGAGCCAAGAAATATTCTCCTCTTCCATTGTTTCTAACCATCTGCTACCTTCGTCAGCCTCATAGCAGTTTTTCTACAACCTGGTCCTCAAGCTGCCTCCTCTTCCTCTGATTTTGGGGTTTTTCTCGGTCGGCCCCTACCCCTTCCAGAGGTAGAGCCCTTCCTGTCTTGGAGAGTCAAAATATTCTCATCTCCATTGATCCTTCCCTCTGCTCAGCAGCAGTTTTTCTACAACTGGTTCCTCTTCCTCTGAAGTCTGAATACCTCCTCTTCTTTTTCTTCTGATTGATTTTCGGGGGTTTTTCTTGGTCGGCCCCTACCCCTTCCAGAGGTAGAGATCCCTTCCTGTCTTGGAGAGCAGAAAACATTCTCTTCTTCTCTCTGCTCCTCCTCAGCCTCAGCAGCAGTTTTTTCTTCAGGAGCATCCACAGCCGCTGTTTCTTCTTGTTCTTTTTCCCCTTCCTCAGCCTTTTCAGATGCTTCGGATATCGCTTCAGTTTTCTCTCCACTACATTTTGTCCTTCCTCTGGCTCTACATGTTCCTCCGTCTCAGAAGAACCTGCTCATCAACCTTTTCCACAGATGCTTCCTCAGCTGCCTCCTCTTCCTCTGAACTCTGAGAAACCTCCTCTTCAATTGGTTTTTGGGGGTTTTTCTTGGTCGGCCCCTTCCCTGTCTCGGTGTTCCTGTAGTCACCGCTGGTTCTTCTTCTTTCTTCTCTTCTGCTGATATCAGCTCCGTCTCTTCCTTTTCTGCAGCAACAAACTCTTCATCAGCAGGGTGTTTCGTCTCCCTCCTTCACACCCAGATCAGCCCAGGTTGTTTTGAGGTCCACTAGAACGACAGTGCTTCCCGCAGTGGAGGGATTTCAGAGACAATGTCTTTTTCCTGAGGCTCTTCTGCTGCAGGTAAAGCGGCTTCATCAACCTTTTCGGCAACATCAGATTCAGAGGCAGCAGCAACAGTGTCAGACTCTTCTTCTTTATCCATTTCCATCACAGATGCAGCCTCTGTCGCTCCCTCCGTCTGCTCCTCTTCTTCAGTCGAAGGTTTAACGTCCTCTGCTGCTTCTTCTGCCTTTGGAGTGTAACTTCTCCTCCACGTTTGCATCTTCTCTTCTGTTTTGTCTTCCATATCCTCTTGTTCCTCCACCTGTTCCTCTGTTGCCTTGTCACCTGCTTCAAGCTCATCCTCCTCTGTCTGCTCTTCATCATATTTCTGAAGTCTTCTGCTCTGCCTTTTAGGTGTAGGTTTAGCTGTGAGTTTACGTCTGCCTCTTTGAGATCTTTTCTGCACAACAGGGCTCCTCTTCCTCATCATCATCATCACCAGAGACTCTTGTTCATCCTGTATCACTGATGTGTTGGCCATCCTCAGTGTTCTGTCTTTTTCAGATTCATCTGGATTCATTGTCTCTGCTGCTTCTAGAGCCTTCACCCCAGACTCCTCTTGCTCCTGGGCCTCCTCTTTATTGTCTGTTTGTCTTCTTCCAGCTGCTCTCTCTCCAACATGCTCTTTCACGGAGGTTATTTCTTCTGTTACAGTCACCTCCTCCACGACTTCAGATGCAGAAGTCAGACAGATGCAGTGTACTCTCTGGCTGTGGCGTGTAGATATGGGTGGGTCGTGCTCATCACAGTTCTTCCTCTCAGAATTCTCCCTCCACCCACAGCTGACTTTCCCCCTTCACCTCCTCCTCGGTTTTTCTCTGCCGCAGGATCTCCGTCGAGGGTTTCACTTTTACTGTTTGTATTGCCTTTACAACTGCTCGTCCTGTTTTTGCAGCTTTACTATCCTGTGATGTTTCATGTGGTTATGATCGCCTCGTGTTGTGTAACAGTTTCTTCTGACTTTCATCTCTTCTCCACAATGTCAGTTTCTGCTTCTTTGTGTTCCTCTAAAACTCTCCTCTGCTTCCTCTATTTCTGATGCCACGTTCTCGACTATCACCTGCGAGTTATGAGAGGTGTTCACATCCTGTGTGCCATCATCTTTTGTTTGGAGCTCCTCAGGTGATATCCTGTGGGGCTGGTTTGTCTGACATCAGAGATACCTCTTCTTCTTCTTCAGGTGAAGTATCAACTACATCCACTCCGTTTTCTTCAGGAGTCAAACTCAAAACATCCTAAAATTAAAGAGGAAATTTCATCACAAACAATTCGCTTTTATGGACAAACATGCAACGACCATTTGACTTATACACACCTCAGTCTGCACCAGGTCAGAAATATTTTGCAGATTACCTCTTGGGGTTTCGGCTTCAATGTCTTCAATCCTAAAAGATGCAAGAAATCACTGAGTTTAGTTCCCCTCTTTTAGAAGAATAAAGGTTCGAAGATGGTTTTAGAACAGCTGAAAGATGGCAGAAATCCACACTACATATGTTTTCCTCTTGTTCATTGCGACAGAAATGCATCTGTTGGGATCTCCATGTGTTGAAACAAAGGTCTGTCCTGTAGCCACAGAAGCCTGAGTACGAGTACTTAAATGACACTTACTCCCAGCATGCCCTGTTCTGCAGAAACACTCCCAGCATGCTCTGCAACATCTAACACATAGGTGTTAAGTGTATGGTCGATAAAAGCAGCCGCCTCTCATTGTTCGATCTCTTCACGTGTGGTCTCCCTACACCAGAGGATACCTCTCCACAAGCTTCCAGCTTCAGGGGAGACACGCATTCCAACCTGGCCTACTTCCAAGGCCTGTTTTAGGAGTTTTGGCGCAATCAGTAACTATCTGGGTTTGAGCACAGAGAGATTCTTTCCTATTATTCTCGTCAATGTTGGTGAACGCAACTAGACAGGAGTGCTACAGAAAGCCACTGTTACCTGATCTACACACACATACACACACACACACACACACCAGCACTCATGACCACACACACACATGTGCCACACTGTTTGTTTGCTTAGATTAGTTTGTAATAGTTGTTTGATTGATTAAGTTCATTGATTTGGATTGATGTTGCTTTGTTAAATAAATCCTGTTAGAATTTAAGAGAGCAGTTTGTGATTACTGGTGTATTTGCATTGTGATATAAGCTGGGTGAGAGGGCCTTGTGTACGGATTTCACGCCTTCAATTTATTAAATATAGTTATTAATTATTGATAATATTAGTAACTAATATATATATTAGTATATATATATATATATTAAGTAACTAATTTGAGACCGAATTTAGTGATATTTTGGTTATTTTCCCCTGCCCTCGAGTTGATTAAACATAGTTTAATGATATTGTTATTTATATTAATAATAATTAAATATAATTATTACACAATATAACCAAATTTGACTAGATAAAACCCAAACAAATGGTGCCCTGTGTGAGGCCTTCAATAAAACCAGCTTTATTGCACTGTTAATGCACAGCAATCCAAACTTTTTTCTTGAGGAAAAATTATCTTTTCTTTTAAAGACTTACTTTTCATGCTTGTTGTTTATTTAAAGCAGACAGCAAGGGTGACCTTCACTATGAACTAGTTTGTTGCTTTAATCCAGAGTTTTATCCTGAAATGTATTTATTTTGAACATTGACTTCTCATTTCAAGCAAAGCATACATCAAGTTGTGTTTTGGCGAGTTGAGTAGTTTTCTTTTTGTGTGCTCTTTGTTGTTTGAGACAACAATTTAGACAGTTTTCCAGTTGAGAGTGTAACCTCATAATTGTTGCATAGCCAGCGTCTGAGAGGTGGTTCCTCCCAACCTTTGAAGACTTGAGGTGTGAATCCTCTCTCCTAGCTTCCAGGATAGACTGCAGTGATCAGTTGGGAAACTTAGATAGATTTGTTCTTATGTTGATCTAGCTTTGTTTAGCTTAGCAGCTTTATTAACAGTAATCCACTGTG